AGCCCACTTACCGAACTCCGGAGTCAGGTTTTGATCTCCATCTGTGCAAGGCTCCCTTGCAGCCGCTTGGACTACTGGGAAGGCTCAGCCTAAGGCTCGCAGCGAGGGGGGAGGATGAGGGAGACCAGAATTGGACTCTGTAGGAAGGGCAGATATACTTTCAGCCTTTTCTGCAAAATGCTATGCGCTTCTCTCAACCTGGTGAAATCTTTCATACTCAGTTCCCTTCTGAAGCGGGGGCGCGTGAGTGCTAGCCTGCCTTTCAAACAGCTACCCCAGGAGCCCACAGGTGGATGCTGTGCACAATGTTAGATGGACGCTGTAAGGGCGTAGGGGAGATCAACATGTTCCATGTGGGCCTGGGATGATGAGATGGAGAGTCCCTCTAACATTATCTTTCTCCAGCAAGGAGCAATTTCTAGACTTTCCTTTTTTTTTAGTGTCCAAGAACGATCTTGTGAATATTGAGAAAATCTCTGTGGAAGCTCAAAAGAAACAGGAGCCTCTCTTTGAAACCCAGGTTGTGTGATGTGGTTGTTGGCAAACTCAGCTCTGAAGTCAGGGAAGATAAAGGGGCTGGCAGAGTCACAAAACAGGGAGTGTAGGGTGAGGAATTTAGTGAGTTGAATCATTACAGCTGCCTTTTCAAATTCATGCCTCTGGGCAGCTAACAGTGGTTGAAAACAGCAAGTGGCAGCAGCAAAAATGAGAATTATCTCGCCTGAAAAAAGAGGCATCAAAGAAAACGAGTTCCAAAATGGAGAGAAAACTCAAACTCATGGAAGATTTAGAAATTTTACCTCAAAAGAAGGGGCCAAGGTGGAGAAATGAATGGGAGAATAGTGTCTCATAGGGCAGGGCTTTTCAACCAGTGGTACGCGTACCATCAGTGGTAGTTTGCCACCTGGCAGGTGGTACGTGACCGTCCTAGAGAAATGGTAGCGGAGGGGGAGAGGAATGAGCTGAAGCAGCAGCAGTGCTGCACAAGCCTGAGGGAGAGACAGACGGAGCTGCAGGGCTGTCGGTGATCAGCAGAAGCCTCAGGACCAGTGCTGGGCTCCAGCTCTTCAGCGCTTCCAGGAGCTGGAGGTGGCCTCAAGAGAAAAGGAGGAGGAGGGGGGAAAGAGAGCGTATAAAATGAGGTTTTGGCGGGAAAGGACCAGCGAGCGAGTGCCCCATCCTGCCCCTGGGCACATGAAGAGGTAGCGAGCGCCCAGTATCACTGCTGACCGTCCCTGCAGATCACTGAGAAAGGAAAAAGGTAGGAGAAGCGCCTCCATTTCCCCCTGGAAGCCAGTACTCGCACACTCGCCACCTTCTCCGTGCACCCCCAGGGGTCTGGGCAGAGACGGCAGGGGAGGCCCTCACTAGCTACAGGGCTGCCCTGTGCATTCTGGCTTTGATGGCCCCCGCCAGGAGATCAGCACCACGCCTGCTCGCTGACCTCGCCTCGCAGCCACCAGGCTTCCCTTTCACCGGGAATGCCCCTCCCTACATGTGATAGCGACGGCTGGCAGAAGCATGGCCACCGGCAGTGCTAGCAATCTCTCCCACTCCCGTCATCTTTTCCTGAGCATGGAGGAAGGAAAGAGAAGCAGGGGAGGACGGAAGAGAGGAAGGAAGGAGGAAGCTGGGAAAGGGACTGCTTTCTGAGCGCTTTTCAGGTTCGTTTTTTTAAACTGTCAGAGCCTCAGGGCAGGAGGCTTCCCATTTTGACCCCTACCCCATCACCTCTGCCTGAAGGGACCCGCACATGTGTTTGTGTGTGTGTGTGTGTTTGCACGCAGGGGGGTCTCACCTCCTGCAGCCCACTCTGCGATATCGGAAAGGAAAAGAACGGGAGGAGCAAGAGAAGCTGTGATGGGAGATGGGAGCGGGAGCCGAGGGGGGCAGGGCACTATGCAATCGGCAGCATGTTGAGAAAAAGAAACAAGTACTCCAAAAAACCAGCTTTCATTAGTTTGCAGCCTGCCATTGCAGAAGGACTCAGTTGAGGGCATGGAGCTGCAAGCGGTGAGAGATGCAAACATACCCTGCCCGCACGCACACATACATACATATACACACACAAATGTAAACTATAGGAAGGCTAGGACGATTAAATATTTTCTTCTGAAATTTAGCAAAAGAATCAATATATTTTGGGTGTTTTGTTGGCAAATATGAAGATTCCAAACTAAGACTTTAGCAAAGACATGTTTCCAAGTGGATTCCTACTGATCCTAATACATCAGGATTGAATCACAATGAATCTATGACAGAACCCTGATCTAATCTTGGTGTGTTTTTGACCTGGGTTAATTCCATGGTGCCATGAACTCCCAAAGTGCATTGGACACCCCACCAGCTCCCCAACGTCAGTGAAAGAATCTTCATCTCCAATCTCTGCATTCTTTGATAGCCAAAAGGACTTTCTGGATGGCAATAGCTCCTCACCCCCAACTTGTAATGACACCAAATGATGCCCAAGTGGGCATATTTGTAAGAAAGGAACATTCCTCTCAGGTCACATCCAGGTCTGGTTTATACATGCCATGAAGTCCTTCATCCATTTCGATCATGGTATTCTGTCCCAGCCTACGTGAGTCCTTGTTATGCTCACAAGGAGAAACCCCTCTTCCAACAAGCAGGCTGGAACCACAGGAAAAAAACAATTCCCTTTTATTATTCACAGACCTGAGTCAATGTCCAAGGCAAAATAACACAATTCACAGAAACTCGATCCTCAACACGAAGGGTTGCCTTTGGCAACCACCACCTCCCACACCTTCCCTTTTATTATTCAGCCAAGGCCTGGCTTCCTAATGCCTTCTCCTTTGCATTTGGAGCCACCCCGTTGCATTCCTCTGAACTACTCTCTTTTCTTGCCGGCGTTTTCGTGCATCCTGGATATCTCACAGATGTGATTCATCACTGTCCAACTCAGACTCCCAGCACAGCTGTGTCTCAGCCTGAGCGCGAGTAGAGGGGCCAGGCTTGTCACTGTAAGTCTTGGAGCTCCTCACAGCCTTCCACTAACTCTGATGTCACTCCAGGCCCCTCCTCCTCCTCTGATTCCTCAGACTCAGCTGCCAGGTCCACTGGCTGGTGAGGAATCACAACACATGGTTAACAGCACTCTTATTATACACCAAGCTGGTCTTCCATAATATCAGGGCTTGATAATAGCTCAGTTCGTCGAGCAACCAGTGACCAGGCTCAGGAGTGAATGCCAAACCCTGGAAGTCTATGGAGATTTTCAGTCATCCAGATAATGGCTGTCCCAAAGGGGCTTTTTCAGGAAGTAATTGGACTTTCTTGTTTTTCTTTGAAGACATTTCGCTTCTCATCCAAGAAGCTTCTTCAGCTCTGACTGAATGGTGTGGAATGGAAGTATTTATATTCCTTGCAAACAGCTGGTCATTTGAATTCTTTTAGAGAGTCATTGAGGTCACTTGGAGGTTTATCTGTGTCCTACAGATCTGTGTGTGAAACCTTCTTGGCTGCAGCTGAATAAACGCGTTAAAAGCTTATCAAGGCACAACAGCTGGATTCTGTTGTTATTCATATACCGAGCCACACCTCAAACGGGCAAATGTTTTTGGCCACTGTGGCAGGACAGGTGCTCATTTCTGGGAAGCCCAGGAAGAGAAGGACACCAAGCTCGTTCTGAGATTTCCTGGAGGTGATTTCCTTCTTGATTCTCCCCAAGTCCTAAATTTTAGACAAAGTATTCTTGCCTCTAGTAAGCATGCCCAGTTTTTCTTAATAGCCCCAAGTCTGCCTCCCCCAAGCAGAAACCAGCTCTGTACAAATGCAGATGTAAACCATCAGGAAAGTTGGAGCTAGATTAAGAAGACAAAGACCTAAAATCTGCATACCCCACCTGAGACAGGACATGGTAGGATTAACTCACAAAGGCCAAAGGGCACACCCAAACTCAGGTCAGAATACATGACATAGGAAATAGCCTCAAAACAGGAACAGGAAATAACTCCAAACAAAAGGCTCCAGAGGGTATAAAAAACCTATTCCCTACATGTGCAAAGCCCTTTTTTTTCACTTCTCTTGCTGCCAGAACCATTTTCCTGTCTGGCTCTCCTCTCCAATAAAGTACAACCTTCTTCCCAAAGCAGTTGCCATGTTTATTCCCAGCTTGGATGAACCATGATGAAGATCTTTCCTCCAACAATACATTGCAAACAGAATGAATGAGGAAAACTCTCATGGAGAATAAAATGGTTTACAATTGATAATTAATGTCTCTAAGTCCACATCACAGAATTTCTTTAGTGTGGTTACATTTTTACACCATCAGATGTTGATATAGAAGTAGAGACGCCATTCCTTTCTTTTACACTGGATGTTTCTGCAATTCTGTCCGCCCTCTGTATCTGAAATCCTGGGAAATGCATGCTGCTATCATCAATTGACTCATTTAGCCAGGTTTCAGTGAAGCAGAGGGCGACTGAGTTGTAAAAATTAGAATTGCATATGTTTAAAAGAAGTATTTCATCCATCTTATTAGCAAAAGAGTGAAGGAATAGGTTTTTGTTCCATTTTTCCTTAGTCTATTCAAAATCTCTGCAGGCTTACCCCTTCTTCGCAGCTGTCTCCTCCTCTTGTTTTTGTTTTTCCATTGTTTAGAGATAGCTGCCATTTCCTTGATGACAATCTCTTCTGGGGGGGTATAGTCACAGAAAGCTCCCCATTAAAAAAACATTGCTTGATGCTTAACAGTTAGTCTCTTGAAACACAAAGTGAATCACAGAGAATAATAAAAAAGCAAAAAACTATCACGGAACATTTTACCGAGGCTGCAGTAAGAGGCCCATTCTTGAGGGGGAAGGATAGAGGTCATACCATTCCTGTATGCAACCCTCCCCTCAGATTCCTCTTAATATCTTCTATGGCATGGAAATGAGTATTTTGTATTTTATCAGGAGAAAGCATTGTGAAAGAAATCCATTTTCTATACAAAAAAGGAAACCTGTGCAGTTTTTTAATTTTTCTTTCAAAGCTCTTCTCACACTTCCTTTATTGATATGGTTTCTCCCGTGTATGGATCCTTCTATGCCAAGAAAGAGTGGAACTCCAGGCAAAGCTCTTCCCACACTCCATGCATTGATATGGCTTCTCCCCTGTGTGGCTTCTCTTGTGGGAGACAAAATCACAATTCCACCTAAAACCCTTTCCACATTCCACACATTTATATGGCATATCTCCTACGTGGACGGCCTTGTGGGAATTAAGACTACTGCTACAAGAAAAGCTCTTTCCACATTCCATGCATTGATATGGCTTCTCTCCAGTGTGGACTCTCATATGGGAATTGAGGTTAGTGCTACAAGTAAAGGTCTTTCCACATTCCATGCATGGATATGGCTTCTCTCCAGTGTGGATCCTCTTATGGGTATTGAGAGTACCACTACAAGTAAAGGTCTTTCCACATTCCATGCATTGATATGGCTTCTCTCCAGTGTGGATTCTCTTATGGTAATTGAGACTACTGCTACAAGTAAAAGTCTTTCCACATTCCAGGCACTGATATGGCTTCTCTCCTGTGTGGACCGTCTTGTGGGAATTAAGATTACCGTTATAAGTAAAGGTCTTTCCACATTCTAGGCATTGATATGGCTTCTCTCCTGTGTGGATCCTCTTGTGGGAATTAAGATTACTGCTACGAGTAAAGGTCTTTCCACACTCCATGCATTTATAAGGTCTTTTTCCTTTGTGATTCCTATGATGTATTGTAAGAAAGTAATTGCAAGAGAAGGACTTTCCACATTCCAGGCATTGATATGGCTTCTCTCTAGTGTGGATCCTCTTATGGGAATTGAGACGACTGCTACAAGTAAAGCTCTTTCCACATTCCATGCATTGATATGGCTTCTCTCCTGTGTGGATCCTCTTATGGGAATTGAGACGACTGCTATAGATGAAGGTCTTTCCACATTCCAGGCACTGATATGGCTTCTCTCCTGTGTGGATCCTCTTGTGGGAATTAAGATTACTGCTACGAGTAAAGGTCTTTCCACACTCCATGCATTTATATGGTTCTTCTCTCATATCAATGCTTGTATGGTTATGAAGCCAACTGACCCTCGGAAAGCCTTTTTTCATTCCACTTTGTGATTTCTTTGTTTCATCACTCTTTGACTGTATCTGATCTGAAAACTTCCCTTTTCCCTCTTTTGAATGGATCATTTGGCATTCTTCCTTGCAATTCTTATTTTCTTGCCCATTAAAACCTTGAAAATGAAAAAAAATGAAAACTGTAGCAAGAATAGGGGAACAATCAAACCTTTTCTTCCTGATCTAAACTTTGACCTGGGACTATTCCATGGTGCCACTTACTCCCTAAGTGCACTGAATACTGTATTATGGGCGGGATATAAATTCAAATAATAAATAAATAATAAATAAATATCCACCCAGTCCCAAACTTCAATGAAAGTCTCATCCCCACTTGTCTGCAGAGCAGAATCTTTCAAAGCCAAGGGGAATTTCTGCTCCCCACCCTCAACTTAGGCTGTTAAACTCTGTACAGAAGTGGGCACATCTCTAGGAAGGGAACATCCCTCTCAGGGCTAAATCCAGTCCTGCTTATAGCAGCTCACACCCATCGGGGAGCCAGTGACCAGGGTCAGGAGTGGATACTGAACCCCTGGTGGGCAGGACCTTTGCTCAAGAGAGGCCACACCATCCCTGCATGCAGCCTGTCCCTCACATTCTGGCTAATATCTTCTATGGCATGGAAATGAATATTTTGTATTTTATCAGCAGAAAGCATTTTTTTTAAAAAACAAAAACATTTCCTTTATGTAAAAGGAGGGCAAGGCGGTTTTTCAATTTTTCTTCCAATAAATTTCCTTCTTCCATAAAGTCAGTTTGGTCAAACAGTTAAGGCACCAGGCTAGAAACTGGGTGCCCGGAAGTACTAGTTCTGCCTTAGGCATGAATGTTGGCTTGGTGAATTTGGGCCAGTCTCCCTCAGCTCAGCCCAGGTCACAAGGTTGTAGTTGTGGGGAAAACAACAAGAGGAAGGAATATTGGGCTTGTCCGATAGCTTTATTATTTACAAAAAATAAAGGCAGAGTATCAATAAATGATGTTTTTATCAGAAATATCATCTAAGCCCCCACCCCACCCCATCACTTCTCTATGTTTCCGAGTACAGACAGGGATTCTTACCCAGAGAAGCCAGATTCCTGGAATTCTCCAGCATGACTTCTCCGTGAAGAGCTTTTTGGGCAGGGTCCAGCTGAGACCACTCCTCCTTGGAGAAATACACGGCCACTTCCTCAAAAGACACAACATCCTGAAGAAGAAAAGAAATTTCCCTATTAACAGATAATCCCAAGAATAATTTGAGGTTTTTCTTCCATTAATTCTAGGAAAGAGATCTAGTTAACAAAATGGGCATCCTCTGCAGAATTCAAAGTGAGATCTCACCGCTTTTGGCTGAAAAAATAATTGAAGCAGATTGGATCTAGTTGGAGGTATTTGGAATGCCTTTCAGCGTAGCCAACTAAAATAGTTTACTTGGTCAATTGGTAGTTGGGTCTTAAATCCACTTAGTATCTATGGAGATTCTCAATCACCAGATCACAGTTGTCCCAAAGATGCTTTTCAAAAGGCAAAATAAGGATTTTTTTGTAATGGTATGTGAGAATGACCCTGGGAGAAAGAAGGAACAGCCCCAATGCTCCAACTGTCTGGTCAATGAAATCTGATGGCAAAGCAGGAGGAGAAAGCATCTCACAAAGGATCCCCTCAGAAGAGAGAGGGTAGGCTAAGCTGAGCATGAATGTTCAATGACCGGATATCAAATTTATATTGCTTAGAAACAGAAATTTTATACATTGAACTCTAGAACAAAATGAAATCCATCCATGATACAAGGACTTTTCCAATTTTTCTTCTCCTTACCTGAAGTAGAGGTTCAGCCAATCCTTCAGCTCCACCACAAAGAGGAGGTGAGTCTACAAGTTCCATGGACAGCTTTCTACTCTCTGTGAGAGAGAGAAAAATGGGGGAAGCAGATTTGTTAAAGTCAGAGATTGTAATGAGATGCAGCTAAAGAAATCAGCTAAATGTTGAAATCTCATATCACACAGAAAGACCTTCTGTTACCTGGCGTGATGTCCTGACTTTGACCTTTCTGGAAGTTCTCCCCGAACAGCAGCTCTTGAGAGGGTTTGGATGAATCTTTCCCCCCCTTGGGATACTCAGTCGCAGCTTTCAAGGATTTCTGGACATGATGTGATAGGAGAAACAAAGGAAGAGCACAGAGATAGAAATGAATTATCATACTGCAGCTTCAAACTACTACAATGTCCATTGTTGAAACCTGAAACAGAATGAAAGAATTGCCCCAAATATATCCTCTGGAACAACTCGCTTTAGGAGTTAATAATTCAAGAAAACTCTGACAGAAAGGAATTGACAAATTGAGAGTGATCCTCTTTAGACCTGTTAAGACTATATTCTCAGACCTGGAACTCTTCTTGCATCTTTTCCACATCCACGTTCAGCAAGAAGCCTTCGGCCAGGGCCACCGCCTGGGAACTGGTCTCCGCTCCACACTCGCGCACCCATTTCTCCATCTCTGGTGGAAGGAAAGCCAGGAACTGCTCCATGAGCACCAGGTCCAGCATTTGGGCCTTTGTGTGTATTTCTGGCTGCAGCCACTGACAGCAAAGGCGGTGAAGCTGACTGCAAATATCTCGGGGACCCCTCCCCTCCTGGAACTGCACTTTTCTGAAGTGACAGCATTGGACCTCTGAACTGTTGGCTTCCTCTTCTTGGTTCTTCTGCCCAGGAGTTGCTTCATTCATCTCACAGCTCCAAGACTGAGCAACTGCAGAGCTTTTTCCAGGTGGGCAGACTGATGGATCTGCACAGGTCTTCCTAATCAGAAGAGGTATGTCAAAATTTCCTAAGTCCATTTAGCCCTCTTCCCACACAAGATATTTAAGACTCAAGAGCAATCAGGAAAGATTTCCAACTTATATATCTGAAATGGAAAACAAAAGAAAATTCCAGAAATACAGGTTGACCAACTTAACAACTGAACACACACAAAAACTGAAAGAAGAAATTCTTATGAACCCACCAATATCTGGGAAGGGAGGTGAAATCTTTGTAGGTAGTGATGTATCTCTGTGTGGAAAAAAATCTGTAGTAACCTTCTGGATTAACTTCTTTCAAGGACTAAACAATTTGGATGCATAAATTTAAAATATGTTTTTGATTTCTTATTCCTACTTATTTATTCAAATAATTCTGATGGCTACTTGCAGCATGAAAAGTAACCTCTGTACAATCCAGATCATAAATGTCTCAGGTCACAAATAGCCATTGAGATGAGTGGCTTTCTAAATCGATTTAATAGGTATCAATATTTGAACTTCCCGTGTAACTTTAGCCAGCAGAACCTCATTAAACTCCTGGCCCAAACTGTAATGGCTACCTGAGAAATCACAATCAACAAACCACCATTCAATGCAAACAGAATAATACCCGAATCAATAAACCAGCTTAACATGATGTTTTCATTCACGCATCTCCTTGAAACAGGCTCCCCACTTTTAGCCTAATCCTGAATGGCTCCGACCTTTCTGGCGATCCTGATTTTCTTCCTGGAGGCAACGCAGCGCGTCCGGAGCTTTGATTTCTTCCCTGCCTGGCCCGTGCATGCACAGGGGGGCCGCAGGGGAACATGGGACCCCGGGCTCCCCCCTTCCCACGCCTCCGAACCTGATGAAGTTTTGGTTGTCTCCATGCACAGTCCAGCCCGTGAAAGAAACGTCTCCCCACTTACTGAACTCCGGAGTCAGATTTTTATCTCCGTCCGTGCAAAGCTCCCTTGCAGCCTTTGGGAATCATGGGAAGGCTTAGCCTAAGGCTCGCAGCGGGGAGGAGGCAGAGAGAGAGAGAGAGAGAGAGAGAGAGAGAGAGCAGAATCGCACCCGTAGGAAGGGCAGAAACACCATCAGCCTCTTCTGGAAAATGCACCGAGCATGTCTCTTGACCTGCTGGAAGAGCGCATGCTCAGTTCTCTCCTGAAGCGGGGGCAGGTGAGGGCTTTGTAACGACAGCCCAGGGAGCCCCCTGGTGGATCCTGCATGCAACGCTAGATAGACGCTGCAAGGGAATAGGGGAGATGATCATTTTCCATGCGGGCCTGGGATGATGGGCATTGGAGTAGAAGGAAAGGGTCCCTCTAACACAGTGGTTCTCAACCTTTTTAATGCCGCGACCCCAACCGGTCGTAAGTCAAGGACTAAACCGGTCGTAAGTCGAGGCCTTTCCCTGCCCGGGAGCGCCGCGCATGCGTGGTTCTGCCCCCTGCGCCGGCCGAGGCGTAGCTGGCAAGCGGCAGAGACGGAGCAGGCCGACCACCAGCTGGCCCAGCCCAAGGGAGGTAAGGCACCCGCCGAAAAAGGGGGAAAAATGGCAGACAAAAAAAATGGCGGACAGCCTTGCTTGGCGACCCCCATGAAATGGTTGATCGACCCCAAATGGGGTCCCGACCCACAGGTTGAGAACCACTGCTCTAACATTCCCTGTCTTCAGCAGGCAACATTTTCTAGACTTTCCTTTTTTAATGTCTAAGAACGATCTGCCATCTTGTGAATATTGACAAAATCTCTGTGGCGGCCCAAAAGAAACAGGAGCCGCTCTTTGAAGCCCCGGCTGTGTGATGTGGTTGTTGGCAAACTCAGTCCTGAAGTGAGGGAAGATAAACGGGCTGGCAGAGTCTCAAAATAGGAAGTGAAGGCTTAGGAAAATTAAGACTTTTATTCATTTTTTTATTTGGTGAGTTCAATTATTACAGCTGCCTTTTCAAATTCTTGTCTCTGGGCAGCCAACTGTGGTTCAAAACAGCAAGTGGCAGCAGCAAAAATGAGAATAATCCTGAAGAAACGGCATCAAAAGTAAAGTTCCAAAATGGAGAGAAAGCTCAAATCATGGAAGTTTTAGAAATTTTACCTCAAAACAAGGGTCCATGATGGAGAAATGAATGGTGTCTCATTGGTGACTGGAGAAAAGGTGGAA